GACTCGATTAATTGAGTCTGCTCTGATGCTTTGGATTTCCAGTGTGTCGGAACAGGCTCTGAGCACGTCTATAGGAGACCATAAGCACTAACATTAATGTGCATTAGGAAAAGTGCCTTAATGGACTTGTAGACGCTCCCATAAATGCTCAGGTCTTTCAAAAAAAACCCAAAAAACCCCACACCATGACTTTAAGCTTATTCAAAGGCTTCTAAACCTTGTTAGATAAAAGCAAAGATTAAGAGGTGGCAATGGCCCATCAGGGTAGAAACCCAAATTAGATCCATTAAGGTAGATTTAAATAAGGAGATGCATAAGTAACAGGCCACCAGCTCAGGGGGCTCCTCAGTTCAAGACCAACTGTAGTGAAGAAGCAGAGCCATGCATGGCAAAGCCTCAGACCACTTGCTGCCCAAATTTCTAAGAATACTATGCTTCTGTTGGAAATTCACCTATGTAGGAAAGTCCTGCTGTGCTGGATAAAGCTACAAGTGAGAGGCTGAGGTTGAACCAGAGGGGGTTACACTGAGAATGGCTTTGACCAAAGATACAAACCAGATGGGAAGAGAGTCACACATGCTAATGTCAATGTTCAAACACTAATTCAACTTGATTCTAAAGATCTGTCAAAGTTGATGTGGACCCTGCAAAATTAAGTGAAGATGGACAGATTTCAAATGGTGTTGATCTACTCTCTAGATTACTGTACACTTTGGCACTGGGTTCACATCTGCCTCAGCAGTGGAATTAAATATTTGTTAACTATTGAAAAGATGTGGCTTTTGTCACCAGAAGGTCAGACAGCGTCGAACAAAAACGTGTTTACAACAACGGGGGAGGAAAATGTGGCTCTGTGTTGAAGTCAGAGATAAAAAAAAATCACACCTCTTAGCTAAAGAGCTTGTCTAGACAGGGGAAGAAAGAAGCAAATAACAAAGGCTTGGGCTTACTAGTAATCGGGAGAGAGGAGAATAAAAAAATTATCTGACATCAGGGCAAAAGGTACCAACAGCAAGATTAGGTACAATGTCAAGATATTTGAACATAACCTGCGTTAGACACAGAGTCAGATGTTCTAGCCAAGGAAAGGTTATGGGCACCAAATTTTCCTAGTTCTAAGAAAGAAGGACACAAATAGCTTATGAAATCTGAAGAAAAATCAACTAAAGGGATTTTGGTTCAAAGACTATGAAAAAACCATGCATGTGTACATGTACATACATATATGCAGACACTCTAGGCCCTGTCTTTATGTGGGAAACTATTCCACTATAGTCTAGTTATTCCAATGTAATTCAGATATTCCAGACTAATTTTTCCTCTCATGAATGTGCTGAGACAATTTCATTAAATGCATACAGAGTGCTTCGGGAGACTTAGATAACAGTGCTATAAATTAGGTAATTTCTTAATATTGTTATCAAGATTTAACTTGTTTTTGAGCTTGCTAATGTTTTCTCTGATGCTCATCATGATAGTAACCTGATTCCTTCATTAAATTTCATAATCTAGGAATTGTAAAGTCCTCAGTGGTCTCCTTGGAATTTCTGAACTCTTTTCCCTTTTCAGTTATAGAAAGTCTTCTTGGGGGCCATTTTATGGAAAGGCAGTGAGAGAGAAGGATGGTTGTTATTGTGAATTATGAAAGTGCAAAACAGATTCCTAAAGGGAGTCTTTTACTGGGATCTTGCAATTAAGATTCAGTACAGTATGATGTTTTTACAACTAAGTTATAAATGTCAAAATAAGAGACCTAATCCATTATTGGGATAATTCCTTTTACTTATTCCATTGACTTCACTGATGTTGCACAGGGGTAAATTTGGTTCAAGATGTTTTAAAGGAAATACTGCAGACTCCTGCCTCCAATTCAAAGCCTTTTTGCTGACCTAGACAAATGGAAAAAAAGAAAGATCCTCAAATGGCCCCAGGTTACTCATGTTGTAAAATCACTTAACATTCTGCTGTTTTAGGGGTCTGTCTGCCATGATAGTAGTTCTAATAGCACCAATATAAAAAGCGAAGATGTATTAAAAGATTATAGCAACACATCCCAGAGTTATGAAAATATATCATCGTTCTTCTAAGGTAAGCATTCAACTGGTAGGGAGACAAGGATGTATAGGTTAAAAAACAGTGTCTCAATTAAAAGGTAATATATAATTTGGATCCAGGATTCTGCAAAGTGTAGGGACACTTGGTTGTACCCATTACTAGTTAAGAGACTTATGTAAGTTATGTTTGGGGTATGCAGTCAGTAAAGAACCAAGACAGAACCTGTATTTCCTGACTTCCAAGCTCTTCTCTAATCATTAGGTTTTTATTAACATACGTTAATTGCAGTGCCTAAAAAGCCTGGTGCATGTCCCTTTAGATATATCTAAATTTACATATATTGCTGTGGAATGTAATGATTGCACAATTGCCCCTTTATCTAGCTTTCTTTTCACTTGTGCACAGTAGCTAATCTTATGTGGAAGGTGTTGATAATGTTCCTTTGTGCTTGCATTACTCAGTTCTGATCATGCTTCACCTTGATCAGTATCCTCCGCTTTGGAAGCACATGAGTTGAATAGAGACCAGAGCTCTGATCATAGCCCTATTATCAGGGCCCCCAGCTATGTTCATGGGTTTCAGGCAGATCAAGATAATCAGAGATGCTGCCAGAGAGGGCAGGAACCAGAAAGCATCATTTACACTGTGAAACTATTTGCCTGCCTATGAGGGTGTCTCAAATATAGTATGTTCCTCTCCAATGCAAAAAAATACACAGCACAGAAAAGAATAATATTAACACAGATAGGCAAATAGATGGAGGCTATGTGTAACTTTCCTGTATTATTCTAATTAGTGTGTCCATCTTCCAATGCAGAATTCACACAGGAAAAACTGCTACTACGTCTACAAAGAAACTTAAAAGCAGGATCAAGACTTCAGAGAACTCACTTCACCAAAGAACCCAGCAGGCCCAGCAAAGAAATTGGGGCAGCTGATAAAATGCCCTTCTTTAACGTGACAGGTACAGTTATGTGAGGACATAGTGCCACACATCAGTTTGACCTACACTGGTCATTGCTAAGGAAAATGTGATCACCTGAATTGTCAACTGGCCAGGAAATCTGTCGTGGGATCACATGATAAGCACCACGTGTAGATTTTAATGACTGCAAGTTAGCACTACCTTGATTTTTTACCTCAGTACTGGGATACTTGGGGTGATGTTACCCATTCAGTGTAGAGTTATAACTTTCCCTATGTCAGGTACAGTGCCGTGGGCATCACGCCTCTACAGTTTACTCTGGAGTAATCATTTGTTCACATGAGCAGGTGCAGTAATAGCAGCCTACAGTCTGCTACAGTGGAACAAGCTGTTCCCGTCTGTTTTGGACACTCATCATACACACAGGTGTTGAAAAGCAATGTATCCTACACTGTGGTGAACGAGTTTCTAGGAAGCCAGGAAAACACAGCCACTGTAGCTATGCAGCATCTCTTGACATGACACTGACCACAGGCAGAGCTAGAATATTGAAAAGGGGGTGCAGATGGCAAGGTGCATCTTCATCAACATCATAGCACAACACATTTTTCTCCAGTTTAAAAATAAACTAGAAGCTCTATTAATAGTCTGTGGGCCTGGGGCTGTATGATTCAGTTTAAGATTGAAGCACAAACAAATAGAACATCACTGGAATTAATAAAAACCCTCTGCAGGCCTGGGAAGTAGGAGCTTTGTGACCAGGAACAGCTACCAGCAGTATGGCAGAGGAAAGGCTGGCTTGACTGGTGGTACATCCAGATGATTATAAAGGAGACGGGGTCATTCACATCTGTGGAACAAAGAGTTTAGAAGGCATTGGGTAGAGAATGATGGGCCATGAAATCAAGTGGCTCCCTCAGCACTGCCTGAGTAGCAATGCAGCCCCTACTCTAAACTTTGGATGGAGCAGGGGCCAAAGGGGGGTGAAAGTGCACCTGGATCCACTGATTCAGTACAGGCTAGGAGGGAAAACATTCCCTGATGACCCACCAGCCCCACGGCCTTTTCTGGCACCCGCTATTGCTTAGCTCTGTGGTTCTCAACTGGGGAGGCGCGGAGCATCCTGGGGAGCCAGGTGATCCTTTCCTGGGTGCCAGCTAGGGCGGCCATCGTAGAGGACATTCCAGTTTTCTTCTACTCTGTCCTCTATCGATACAAAACCGGACACCTTTACATCCTTTATTTTTCTCTCCAAGAGAAAAATAGAGGACGTAAAGGCATCCGGTTTCGTATCAATAGAGGACAACTGGACTGTCCTCTATGATGGCCACCCTAGCGCCAGCCCTGCCAGGTAGATAAACACAATTCCCAGGATAAACCCAGAGATTCCCACTGGGAACCCAGGGTGTTACCAAACACTCTGCCCCCCTGGGCTCCCTCAGCTCTTAGTCACAGAAGAATCGCTGTGGCATTTGTCTGTGGTGAAGCAAGGGGAAAAACTCAACATAGGCATTTTCTGAGGGGACTGGGAGGTTCTCCAGCCTGTGTAGGTTGGCAAGCCCCATGGGTGGAGTGGCTTGGGAAACTGCAAGGCCTGGCTGAAACAGCTAGGGTAACTGAGCCTGGAGAAGAGAAAGACTGGTAGGGCACCGGAAAGGCGATTATAGAGAGGATGGAGACGGCCTTTTCTCTACGGCTCTAGGAGCCAGGACTAGGAGCAAAGGCCACAAAGTTGGCGACGAGGAGAAAACTTCCCGCTAGGCGCGCGGTCAAGCCCCTGCCAGGGCACGGAGAAGGCAGCACGAGCCCCGGGCGGGGCAGGGAGCGGGCTGGGGCGGAGCGGCGCATGCGCAGCGGGGGAGGCGCCTGCTTTTCCCCCTTGCAGCCCGGGCTCGCGCCGGTTCCGACCTGTTGCAGCGGGATACTGCGGCCGCCACCCGCAGGTACCAGGCTGTGCTCGCGCCCCGGGGGAGGCAGCTCCGCCCCTGCAAGTCCCGTGCCGTGTCCTGCCAAGCAGGCACCCCCGGTGGGCCGGGCTCGCCCCTCTTGGGTTCTGCCGCGCCAGCCGCAGGCCTGGAGGAGCCGGGCAGGGGTGGTCCTGGCATCTCTCGGGAAGGGGCCTTAGTGCGGGGCAGGCGCCGCGGGCTTGCTGCTGTCGTTCCCTGTCTCTTAGCAAGCGAGGGGAGCAGACACCAGCCTGGGAGCAGCGCAGGTAGGTCTTCCCGCTGCTCCCGGAGCCCTTGGGTCCCTTGGCAGAGCCTTGGGTCTCTTGGCGAGCCCCGTCGCGCTTGCTTGGCTGCGGTTTTGTGGCTGGCAGCGAGCCAGGTTCCTTCTTGCCTTTGCAAACTTTGTCCTTCTCCGCAACCAGGTCTAAAGGCCTGGCCGGGCTCAAGTGCTGCCTGTGGACCAGAGGGCTTGCAGCATAACTTGGCTGAAGTTGCAAGCCTGCTGGTCCACTCGTGATGCAGGGGCCTGTTAAGTTGCAGGCTCTCTGGTCTGTACGCAGTGCCCAAGCCTGTGAAGTTCAAACCCTCTAGTCTGCTGGCAGTGCTGGAGCCTGGCAAGGCTTTTAGCTCTGGTTGCTGTGTTGGCTGTGGGGAAGGGCCCTGCTGCTCATTCCAACAAAAGCTGGGTAGAAACCAGCTGTGGAGTGGTCATGTCATGATAACTGGTTGGCTGTTTTTGTAAATGGAGAGTCCTTTACATGGTGTGATAATTACCTTGCACATGTGGCTGGTCTGCATTTATTGCGGCACTCCCCAGCTAGTTGTGTGAAAATTGGTTTGCATAGATGGCTGATCTAAATGTATTGCATGACGAACCACTCAGTTGTGTAATACAGCAGTTCCCAAACTCTGACACATTGCGCGCCACCAATTTAAAACGTTACAACGTTAAGTACCACCACTTTTGTCATATAAAATAATTATAATAAATGTGTTAATGTGTACCACTGACAGGTTGTTTGTGTACCACTGGTGGTGCCTGTACCACAGATTGGGAACCTGGTGTAGTGTATATAACGTGTAGCAGGGTAAGAAGAGGATAATAATGCTTGAGCTGGTGCCACTTGAGCTGCCAACATGAAGAGTCTGTACTGTCAGTGGAGTACCGGTTTCACTTGAGTGCTGCTCAGGCTCCAGTGCCTGCCCTGTGCTCTCAGGAAAAAACAGGCAAGTGCTTCCTCGGTTCACTAGAAGCACATTCTGTGAGGCAGGTTGCAGAAATCTTAGGCCAAGTCCACGCTGCAGAGGGGTGCAGGCAGGGCTCCAGTTCTGTTGGTGGGACTTGAAGCACATTCACTCTCTAGCCTCCTTTGAGGTGGTGGTCTCTTTTCTGCCAGGCGAAGCAAGGCTTCTGGATTTGTGTGGCAGCAGGTAGAAGGCACATGTAAACACTTATGTGCTCTCTGTCACTCTTCTGCTCAGTGGCTAGTGCCTCCCCGAGATGAATTTTGTGCTCTATTGGTGCAGCTGTTGACTGGAGCCACCAGAAGCAGGCACATGTGCGTATGCTTCGGCAGCTTGATAGCGTTGGCTGCTATCTGCTGCTGGACCATCAGGTGGGTAGACCTAGATGAGTCGAGCCGAAGCCTTTGTGCCACTTGCAAGTGAATGCAGCTCTGTGTAGATGCTGACTGGACGTTGTCACTGGAGCTAGGCTAGCTCACACATTTGTCTTCATGGCAGAGCTGACATGAATGACCTATCTCAAAAGGACCGTTCGGGTTCTGTATTGTGCTGAGGTCCCCAGGTATGTCCCACTGTGTACTGAGGCCTACTTGAAGCAGGGGGAGGAGAAGAGGGGATATAACAGCCGTGTCAGTCACCAGCAGTAGGGGAATGTCCTGCTCCCACAGTAACCTGCCTCTGCTGCAGGGCTTCTCTGAGGCAGGCTAAGGCCTTTTGTGTCATGTAGCTGGCTGAGCATTTGACTTGTTGAGGATCCATCTTGCTAGCTATCTCCATTTCCTAGGAGGGCTGTGTTTTGATTTTTTGTGAAGACTGCTCTTGTGGCTCTGCTTCCTCTTCTGAGGCAGCAGAGTAGCATGACTACCCCTGCAGGCTTCAGGGAAAGAGCTAGGCCGAGAAGGGGCAAAAGGGGAAGGCGTGCATCTCTTCCTTCAAACCTGACTGAATACCTTTTTTGCTCACCAAGCAATCTGAAGTGCTCAAAGTGCATTCCCCCCTCTGCCCCCCCTCAGCTCTGGTCAGGGTGTGTTACCTCCGTCTCACTCCCCTAGGCAGGAAAGAGGCCAGGCAGCATTGGGAAGGCCAGTTTAGCTTGACAAGATGCAGGCACCATCTTAGTAGCCCAGTTGTGGTGGACTCACCTGTGCACCGTTTCCACGAGCAGAAGAGGAACCAAGCAGGAGTGGAGGAAGGGTGAGAGGTGGCAAAATACCTAAATCAGCTGTAGACCCTGTGATTCTTTAGAGATGCTGCTACCAGTCCTCTTGCTCTAGAATTCTGTGGATCTGTTAGAAAAATCAGCAGACTCAACAGAGACTCCTGGTGAAGACTGTTAAAAATTGTAGGGTCCACAGCATCAGTCAGACTCCCCCAAAAGGTCACAAATTCAGGCTTGGAACTTGGTTTCTGCCTTGGGTCACCAGTAACATCCACATGGCAGGTGTCCTGTTTGTCAAACACTGAAGTAATCTTCCTGATAACTTTCTGCTAGTTTCCAAACGAGTAAGTTTACAAAGTTAGGAATTGCCCTGATCAGACCCAGTAGTGCATTTTTAATTGAAGCCTGTAACTTTCACAGCTGTCCTAGCAATCTTTTACAAAATAAATTCAAGAAATATTCCAGGTTTTTTTTGCCAAACCGGTTGTTAGAAAGCATGGCCAATATCATGACAGAGAAGAAAGGTAATTGACTCTCACTCTAGGCTGAAGATGCAACTGTACTGCAGTGACAGAAGGCCTGCAGGCTCCAATAGAGAAGAATAAAATCACTGGTTCTGAAATACTGTGCTGCTTACATTCAGTATGGTAGCAGTTTTCAGGCCATTTGTTGCTTATGGATCATGGGATAGTACAGGTGTTGAAATGCTTAATCATGAGTGAGTAGTGGATGTTTGGGAACTAGTATTGGGCTGTGGAACCTTTACCATTTGGTCACTGAGAACAATTCAAGCAGAGTTTGTAGGGACTTAAAAGTCATTGTGACATGAGGGGTGCTTGACTTATTTTAAATGAATTTTGAGGTGCTTTTGGATCTAGTGCCTACAGATAGATATTAAAACAATATTTCAAGGAGCATTTCCTTAAGGTTATGGGGAAGGAGGCAGGTAAGGCAGCTCTTACTGCCTCAACCCATCTTGCATTTGCACTGTAAATAAGACCTTAGCCTCCAGAGTTTTCAATAGTAAACCAGTAAAGATGAGGAAGGGATGAAACAATAAAATGTCTCTGTTTTTTTCAGAATCTAGAACAGTGTTTTCTGCAGGTCTGAGAAACACTTTTGTAAGAAGCAAATGCTTGCACTTGGATATACTAGACGACACCCAGGAGGTAGTCTCTGAACTTGTGATGAGGATCCATAATCTTTGCTCCCAAGAAGTTTGAGCTGTATTCTCCATGAGAGTTTGTCACTAATAATCTCTTGCACCTGAAATGCTCTTTTATTCCAAGTAATTGAAAGTCACTGGGGATTAATAAAGAAGATTTGAAAAGACACTTTTATAAAAACAGTAAATTCACAAGTAAGTAAGCAGTTTCCTTCACTGGTAAGAGACCATTGTATGAAAGGCAGAATTTTGCATGTTGGTAATAGACTGAGTAGCTTAAGTTATAATTGAGTAGAACTGGATAGCCGAGTACTTTCTGAAAAACTTAAATGTCCTTACTGTTTCTTGTTAAATAGCTAATACATTTATTGTCCTTTCATCTAAGGATATCTAATTGACGTAAAACATTAATTAAACATCACTAAGTAGGCATATGGTAGCTTTTTAATGGGATGTGTAATGAGCCTAATAGTCCCTGACCTTTTCATGTGAATTTATTTTGAATTGAATGAGCTCACACCCAAGATGTAGGTGACTTTAGGAACCAGAAATCAAATCTCAAATATTTAAGTAATTGTAATGGTTGTAGATGGTGGAATACAAGTGTTAACATTGGTGTCCTGCAGTTTTCCTCAGGTGGCATTTGAGCTTTGCCTGGCTTTTTAGGAATTCTGTCTTGTTAAGAGTTTAAAATAAATGAGTAGGAATCCTTTGCTGAACAGTGTTTTGGTAATGGAGGCTGTTTGGTGGTGGAATTATGGCAAAATTTTTCTTAGTGACTGGGGATAATGGTCAAACTTTCTGCTTGAGATTACTTTCCTTTGATGCTTCTTGCACTGGATGTTACTTGATCTAAATGCTTTCCCTGTTTGTACTTTTATGACCAGTGTCTCATATGGTTCCTGACTCAGTAGGCAAGCTGTTAATGTAACTGCTGTACTTAATTTTTTTTTTTTTTTGAGGGAGACACAAGATGGTTCCTTTTTTGTTTCTTGATATTGGACATTCCCGTCTAGTCTACTTCTGGAACAGAACTGGACTTACCAACTCATCAAAAGAGACGTACTGCTATAGCACTGCACAGGGCAGCACTGTACTTCAGGGAGTAACTTTTGGTGGAATTCCTACAGTCCTGCTCCTGGATGTTACCTGCTTTTTGGTAAGCTT